TGTCGAATCACGAAGAATTATCACAGCATCTACTCATCCTCAGATGGACACTAGAAGCAATCCACCTCAATGGTTCACCCAGTTTGCTGATCTCATGCGTCAACAACAAGAAGCGCAAAGCGCACAGCAGACGCAGATGATGACTCAGTTCGCCCAAATGATTACCACGATCAATTCGAGAGGAAACGACAGACGTACAGCTCCTCAGGTAACGCCTAGTCTAGCTCCTCATAATTCTGATTCAAGTTCCAGCGCATCCGGCCGCGAGAGTGGTACAGTGTTAGCCACGCTTCCCACGGCACAAGCGATTACGCTTTTAGCGTCGCAGATTCCATCTTTCTCGGGCTCCGACGAGGATAACGTCGAGTTATGGGTGAAAAAAGTTGAGCGAGTTGCACACATACACGGTGTCGCAGACGAAGTAATTCTTCTTGCGGTCTCTGGAAAACTCACCAAAACGGCTCGTGATTGGTTTGACTTAAACACAGGCACAAATCAACGAAACCTGGCTCAGCTTCAAAAGAGCGATTCAAGGAAGGTTCAAGAAAACTGTGCCGTATCACGTGGCAATGCAAAAGGCTGAAAGTCGTAAATGGTTATCCGGCAAAGAATCATTTCATGAGTATGCGATGCATAAACTTAAATTGTTACAGAACCTTAATCTTCCCGAGAAAGAAGCCATCAATTTTTTAATAAATGGAATAACCAATCCGGCGTTACGTGGCATGGCCTTACTTCTGGGCGCAGGATCAACGGATAAATTTTTGGAACTGATGCATGAGCTGATAATCACATACGGTGATGAATACAAACGGTCGCCGCCTCCTACCAAGAAGTTTTTCAAGGAAAAATCTAATGGATCAACCACGACAATTGGAAAGTCTGCTGAATTACCGAAGGATGCTTTCTGCGTCTACTGTCGTACGAAGGGGCACATGAGAGCTGACTGCTTTCGGCTGAAGAAGAAGGAGCAGGCCAAGCAGCCTTCATCCAGTTCTTCAAAGACAGCGGTTGCGGTCGTCGAGGATTCTGCTGCGGTCTCCGAGGACGCTCCGTCTTCCAGCTCATCGGTTGCATTGATAAGTACACACAGGTTAGAGATTTCCGATCCGATTCTTAAGGTGATTAAGATTAATGATATTTCGTGCGAATTAGATTCTCTCCTTGATTCAGGTAGTCCGGTCTCTTTTGTACATCCGACAATTATTAATCGGTTTGTAAATCAAACGTCCAAAATCAATAATAAGATTTGTCTGTTCAAAGCGATCAATGGTACTTCCATACCGGTTCTCGGTTCTATTACGGTTAATATTCAATTAAAAGAACTTCCGGGTGTCATGCTTAATGCAGATCTTTTTATAATTAAAGATAATCAGTTTTCAGCTGATTTGTTACTTGGTAGAGTATTTTATCTACAAATAATAATCTTTCAGTTACTTACACTCCGCTGAAAGGTGTCTCAGACACAGTAAAATTATTTGCGGAAGTCGCCTCAACGGAAATTGTAAATGATTCTTTTGATAATTTAGAATCATCTGTATCGGATATCAGTATTGATTTTAACGAATCAGAGAAAAAGAAATTGATCGACTTGTTAAAGGAAGTCGATGAAACTCCGGTTCAGCACGTTGACGACGGTCACGCGGTAACTGTAGCTCTTAAAAATAACACTACTTATGCATATCCGCCTAGACGTTTTGCTTGGTCCGAAAGAATTCAAATCCGTGATATTACGGACGATTTGATGAAACGGGGTATTATTAAAACAAGCATTTCTCCGTATTGCGCTAGAGTTGTTCCGGTCCACAAAAAGAATGGCACTATGCGGTTGTGCATTGACTTACGACCTTTAAACGAACGGGTCATAAAGCAAAAATACCCATTTCCTTTCATTGAGGATTGTCTTGCACGACTTAGTGATAAAAAGGTTTTCTCCCTCCTAGACCTTAAAGATGGTTTCCATCAAATCAAGGTGCATCCCGAGCATACGAAGTATTTTGCATTTGCCACGCCTGATGGGCAATTCGAATATACACGGTTACCTTTTGGATATTGTGAGGCTCCGGCCGAATTCCAAAAAAGGCTCATTCAAATTCTTCAGCCTTTAATCCGGGAAGATAAAGTATTAGTTTATATTGATGACATTTTGGTTCCTTTCGTTTCGACGGAGGAAAATTTGTCTATTCTAAAACAGGTTCTATTGTTACTAAAGCAGTATGACTTTCAATTAAATTTTAAAAAATGCCTCTTTCTAAAGAAAGAAATTGAATATTTAGGCTATATTCTGTCTTCCGTTGGAATCACTCTGAGTCCGCGTCACACTAAAGCGGTACAAGATTTTCCTCAGCCGCGAAAAATGGTTGAAGTCCAACGTTTTCTCGGGCTTACTAACTATTTTCGTAAGTTTATCAAGGATTACACGGTAAAGGCTAAACCTTTACAAAACTTAACTCGTAAATCTGTTGAGTTCGATTTCAATAAGGATTGCCTTCGTGCATTCCAAATACTTAAAAGTGAGTTGGTTTCCTCACCGATCTTACAGCTGTATAATCCTCATGCTGTTACCGAATTGCACACGGATGCAAGTGTTGTAGCTCTTGCAGCTATTCTTTTTCCAAAGGCAGAGTTCTGGTCAATGGGCACCAATCGCCTATTATAGTCAGGCAACCAATAATGCTGAAGCGAAGTACCACAGCTTCGAGCTAGAAATGTTGGCTGTGGTGAAAGCCATTGAGCGTTTCCATATCTATCTTTACGGTTTAGATTTCACGCCGGTTACAGACTGCCATGCTTTGGTATACGCTATTAATAAAGCGCATATGAATCTACGAATTGCAAGGTGGACACTTCGTCTTCAAAATTATCGGTTCAAGGTGGTACATCGTGCTGGCCATAAAATGGCACATGTAGATGCTCTCAGCAGGGTAGCATATTCCAATGTTTTGTCGCTTGAGCGAGAGCTCGAACTCAAACAGGCCATGGATCCTCGGCTCAAAGAGATTGCCGAAAAGTTAGAATTTTCAGATCACGAAAAATTCGAGCTGATTGAAGGTCTAGTTTATCGAAAGGGTCCAGACAAACCGAAATTCGCAGTACCTGATTCTATGGTAAACAATGTTATTCGTGTTTATCACAACGATATGGCGCATTGTGGAGTTGAAAAGACAGTTCATGGTATATCTTCCAATTACTGGTTTCCGGCTTTGCGCAAAAGGGTACACGATTTCATTGGAAATTGTCTTGACTGCTTGATCTCTAACACTGCAGTTAACGCTAGCGAAGGTGAGTTGCAGATCACTGAAACTCCCACGCAACCCTTTCAGATCCTTCATACGGATCATTTCGGTCCGTTGATTGAAACGTCTTACGGGTACAAGCATATTTTGGTGCTTATAGATACATTCACTAGGTATACTTGGTTTTTCCCGTCAAAACTACTTCTTCTAAAGAAGTCATAAAACAATTTGTTCCTCTTTTCCGCTTTTTAGGCAACCCTAAAGAAATAGTTTCCGACAGAGGCACTGCCTTCACCTCTCAGGAGTTCGGCGAGTTCCTTCGTTCTAGGAACATCAAACAACGATTAGTTGCTGTCGCTGCTCCATGGGCAAATGGTTTTGGCCGAACGGGCGAACAAATTTCTGAAATCTTCTCTGAAGAAACTAGTTGAGGAAGGACAGGATTGGAGTTCCTGCATAGATACTGTCCAGTATGTTGTTAACAATACGTTACATTCTTCTCTGAAGGCTTCTCCTTCAAAATTATTACTTGGTTTTGACCAACGAAATCATGCTGACGCTTTATTAGCTCAACGTCTCTCTGATATCGCCAAATTTGAATTTGATGTTGAACAAGAAAGAGAATCAAGTCTAAGGTTGGCATTGGAAGTAGCTGAGAAAATTAAATGCTACAACAAGTCAATTTACGATAAAAGACATAGAAAACCAACGGCATACAAACCGGGCGATTTGGTTTTGATTAGAGACACGACTATCAAACCGGGTGAAGACAAAAAGTTAAAGTCTAGCTATAAAGGACCTTACAAGGTCACTAAGGTCTTGGATAAAAACCGGTTTGTGGTTCAAGATATTCCCGGATCAAACCTAACGTCTAGGTCATATAATTCAATTCTTTCTCCAGATCGATTAAAGTTATGGATTAAGCCGCCGATAGAACCACTACCAGAATCAGTTAAACATTAAGTAGTTTTTGTTTGTGTTCAATTTTGCGTCTTTTCTTTGCCGTTCTTGCGTAAAATTCAACTTTTAATTGTGGTATTGTGATTAATTTTACACCGCTCTAGTGTAATCTCAACATTTAATTTTGGTTTATTTTATTTTGGTTTCTTTTTCGGTTCTTGCTTTAGCATTTTTAAATTGGATTCGCATTTAATAATTTTTTCTTCGCATCAATTTTAAGGGTATGCGGAAAATTTTGCGTAAAGTTTATATTGGTTTGCGTTTAACCTGTGTAGAAATAACCAATTAGTCTTACGCAGAATGTGATATGTACAGTTATCTTGCGATAATGTCATGAAAAAACTGCGATATTTTGCGTTATTTCCTGCGTCGTTTCTTGCGTTATTTTCTTGCGTTCATTTTACATGTATACGTAGCATCGTCAATTGCGTTTTATGCGTCGTTTGATACGTTATTCTCATGCGTTATTTTCATGCGTTATTTTCTTGCGTTAATTTTACATGTACGCGTCGTGACATAATTAAGGCTATATAAAATGCGTAGCGATTGTAATAACCCTTTCAAAAGGAATATTTTTAATGATAATCCGAGTCAAAGACAAAGTCATATATTTAAAGTGTAGTTTGTGATATTATACCAAAGATCTGACTGTGATTCGCAAAAAAAAAAAAAAAAAAAAAAAAAATATTGTGATTAGTTTAAGACTGAAATTAATTAAGATTTAGCAAAATACTGTTATGGTATAAGTTATTGTAATGGTTTGTCATTATTAATAATTGTAATAATTTGTTATTATAGAAGTCGTTCGGGACGAACGATATTGTCAGGCTGGCCGAACTGTAAGAGAGAATTCTATATTATTTTCTTTCTTTAGTTGAATGAGTCTCTCTCTTTCTAACATTGTATACTGCACGCGCTGCAGGTTGCCATGCGTGCGATAGGTCGTTGCTGCGCTACGAGAAAGCGCTAGCGCGTTGTAATCTGATTGGCTCATGCCGATGTAGCGGTTGGGGACATGTGAACATCGGCATGCTGGGTTCGAGGCCTTTTGGTCTCCGTCCGTGATACGGATAACATTATATTAGAATAAAGTTATGAGTTTTCTGTGAAATACGGTTCTTAGCTCTGTCATCCCTCCGTCCCTCATTGTGAAGTTCAATCTCCTTCGGATCCTGACAACCACCTCGTGCATACTCAATGAGCTATTTTACACTAAATTTATAAAATTAAATTTATAAAATTTGTAAAATTAAATTTATAAATCGAATTTCTAAAATTATAAAATTTATAATTATAATTATAATTAATAAATTAAAAAAATGTAATTTTGTTTTCTATAACATAGATCATCATACTCATAACTTTATAAACATAAAACAAAAAATTATACGTCAGAGATATGTATGCCACTTTTCTTGTGTATATCTTATAGGAAATTATAATTGTCAAAATCAAGACTGTCATTATTGCTGGTTGTGATGCTACTTGGATCATCATTTCTATTGTCAACTTCTGGATAAATCTGTACAGATAATTATAATATTTACATGATAAATAATCATTTTGTTTTTGGTACGATCGTTTTGTTTTTGGTACGATATTGTATATTTTTAATAAATTAAGCGCGATTTGAAAAAGATGAAAAATTATTTACTTATAATGATGTCAATAATAATATCAATAAAACTTACTGTTTTTTTTTTATTTAGTTTAATTGGCTTGCCAAATGATGTTCATCTTTAATATGGTGATTGAAATGAGTTGTAATAGCAATAGATATGTTTCTGTGTAACAAATGTTATGTTCTACTTCAAAATCATCACTTTTGGTGCATATTCCCATAGTCAATTCTGAGATGTATGTCTTTTTAATTGCTGTCAGAATTGAAGCGTAAATATTCTTCTAGTCTTTTAGATAAAAATAAAACGTTCTCATTACAAATAATGCATTTCAGGCCAATGGGTTGAATGATTTAAAATAATCTTTTACTTACTCAAACATTGTGTCCGTTTGAAGTGATGAAGTGCATTCTGATGAACCAGCTGTGTCGTATGCTTCTTGCGTATTTTTCAATTTGTCCAAATGTTTCGTTATTATATGATAATTCAAAGACTGGGAAATAGAAAGAGATATATTGTTATGACAGATATTACATTCCACTGCAATATCATTTTTTTCTGTCTGAAATCTCCGTGTCCAATCTTTTACATGTTTATAATTCTTTTCTTGTTCTTCAGGATGCAAACTTAAATGATTTTTTACAGATTCAGTTGTAGACGGAACATATGTATTACAGATAACACATTGTGAATGGAATTTGTCTGAATATTTGAAATACTTCCATTGTATTAGTTTCTTTTTTTCTTCGTCTTTCGAAATTTCTTTATGGCATCGTTGGATATGTTTTTTGAATTGTTGTGAGTCTTTATAAGTATATGTTTTTTCGCAAAACTTGCATTTTGCTTCAAAATCCGACTTTTTTGTATAATATTCCTACACAGTCTTTTTAGTTACAAAAATTAGAGACATCGGGTCCGTTTAAAGTGACTGGATGAGTGTAACTAAATACAGTACACAGTGATGGCAGAAGTATACACTGCGGTTTCTACACACCAACAGAGAGAACCGTTTACATATAATGTGCAGAGCGTTTCGGTCAAACCTAGCTAACAATTATCAAAACACGCGGTAATATCATGCCAAGTATTATTGTCAGCAAAAGAGACGTTACAATGTATTCTTTACACGAATATATTTTATGAGAAATAATGCACAAATATTATATTATATATATTTTTTTAATATTCATCGAGTAAAACTTCTCAAATTAGGAGGGCCATATAAAAAAAATCTATGTATTTTTTCGAACTTATTTATACTGTCCTAAATGCAATTGTTATACCGATTGCAGAAATAAATAGATATGATTGATTGATTGCATTAAAAAATTTTTATAATGCATTTATCTATCTGATTTATTTTCAAATATGGCATCATTAATGTTGATTTTTTTTGTGCAAGATGCCCCGGATTTTTGGTTTGCATTTTGTATTACATTACTCTATTTTTAATTGTTATAACAATAGTTTTTAATGTTTTAAATTTAATTTTGAAGATTCGTAAAATAGAGAATATTTTAATATTTTATAATATTTTTGTTAAAAAGCACATTTTAGCAGTTATTCGTCTGCGTATAAAAATAATTTCCGCATTTTTTAATAATATAAGATATATTGAATGAATACAAGGGTTTTGGTGGGTTTCGTGACAGAAAAATGAGCTAAGTAATTTTATCAAATTAGACATCTCAGCGCGCACTACGCGTGCCATTTATTTTTTAATTACATAGAAATATATATTACAATTATATTTTTAATAAAAATACAGCATTATATACAGCGTTATAACACCAATATAACACCAATTCACATAAAAATTAGTTAAACTTGTTAAACTAGTTAAACTTGATAGGTTATTACATAAATATATAGTGTAGAATAATTCGAAAAGAAATAATTGAACCGCATTTTGAGTGAGCATTTACATTAAACCAGTAAGGGTTGCGTCTTTGACAGAGTCGCATTAACGTTCGGCTAATTTCTCTACGTCACGTTCAATAATAAGTACACACATTTGTCATACTTCTACAAATTGTACATATATTTTTTCTCATCGGGGCAAACACTGCTTGCGAATAAATATCAGTGATGCTGCATTGATTACAATAGCCCTGGAGTGTTAATTAACGTGTGCAAGCGCGATCAGCAGCGCTTCGATATTCATATTTCGGTGAATAATTCGATGTGAAGGTGGTTTTGTGTAATGCGAAATTTTTCGTATGTCCAAACGTAGTGTCGAGAATGCCGTGTTTTGCATTACTTGCTCGTTTAAAATGCATCGCGTATGTGCTGCAAACATCGGGAGTGCCATGTAAAGTACCGGGTGTTTGTCGTATCGTGTTAATTAACGCGCGCGATCATAATTAGTCGGATTTTTCCATTTGGTTTGTATTACGAGTGAGTGTGAGATCAGTCGAGCAAACAAGTTCAAATGACAGTGAAGAATTTTTAGTTAAAATTTCTTGTTATTTTACCTCAGTAATCTAATTGTTTATGTCTTTTGCTCGCAATAATTTAATACTATTTAAATTTATTCACTAAATAATATGATTAGCTAGATAAGTAAAAATACGAATGTATAGAATCATAAGTTAATATTTGATTGAAAATATATTTTGTTAAATATCTTATTTGAAACAAATTTCGTGATTATATTATATAAATTATAAAATCGCAAATTGCGACTCGCAAGCGACAAAAGTATCTTTCTGCATAACACGATGTTCCTCTCGCGTATATACGTTTCTCCAAAGCGACCGACATGTACTCCCTACACATACACATATCGTGAATTTAATTCCGTAACATATTCCCGTCAAAGTTTCCTCTCAACGAGAGACACTCGTCCTTCTAGACAGTGCGAGAGAGATGCAACGGGCACGTAACAAACCCGCGAAACTCTGGCAGGTTGCTCAAACCCGCGGTCGAACGGCCAAACGAACATTTGCTACTGCTTTTCGCCGACTCTACAGCGCGAAAACACTCGACTACTGCCGTGCAATATGTACTCTTCGCGTGGTCCTAGTTCTCCTCCCTGGCGCAAGGATGAGTCTCGAGGACGCTCTTCCGCCGTTTCGCTGCTTCTACCGGGTGCGCACGAAACACATAATACCGCACACAACACGCGAATGTGTACCGTCCGGTCCTTGTGTGTGCGCGATGCCGAACACGAGAAACCACTCAGGCCAACCCGTTTCGGGTGTGTTTGCAGAGACGAGCCACTCGTGTGTATTCACATTGCCTCTCGCTTTCTCTTCCAGATATGCTCGAATTCGCGTGTGTGGCGTGACAGAGGGCTGAAATAAAAGAGCCTTCTCTACCTCGGACTCGCGCCGTCGAGCACCCTGGAGTTTACCTCGTTTTGTCCCTTCGATTTCAAGGTAACCGACATCAGGGGAAATCTTCGTAAACCTTTTCTCCTGCCAAAGAATCTTCCTTTGGCAGGATAATGAAATCGGAGGAGGGATCTCTAGTATTTCGTGCAGAATATCGTTCTCATTAGGCACGAAAGTTCGCTTCTGCGAGATGTTACCGAGACCCCTTTTATCCGTTTCTAATTTGTTTGACAAAAGATTTCACGATTATTACATTTGTGATATTGAAATTTTTTTATAGTAGTATTTTACGTAAGAAATTGAATTGAATTTAATTAATTTCTAATTATTATAACAGAATGAAATCTGATTTTATTTTGAATATTTTTCTCAAAATTTAAGTTATTTTATTTTATAAATTCAGATATTGTTATTTTCTTACACTTGTATTAAGAACAAGCAACCAGAAAAAAGGAGCTTGCCTTGAAATATATTTTCTTTAAGAATATTATTGATCGTGTAATATTTTTTACAGCGAGATAGCATTGAGAAATATTTAATAAAGACACGAATAGTAATTAGCGAGTGATTTATCTCGTAGAGATGAGCGTCGCGATAGTCCGGCTAATTGCCGAGATTTGAGACGCCGCGTAGCTCAAAGTTTCTCTGCTAACGTAGTTTCCGCACGAGTTAAAGGTGTTCTTTTCGTTTTGTGTTCTAGGTATCTTTCGTCTAATGCAGTGGCCTCTCCCGCCCGGCGAACTTTATGAAAACTTCGGTAAGTACAGTGCAGATTCACAATTTGCCCTTGTTAGAGAATGATACATACCAACAGTTTTGCGCAAACTAATGGAGAAGTGCTTCCTTCGTTTTCGCGTACCGCGCAAACTATCGGGCAACTGTTTTGTTTTCTCTGAAAATAACCCGGCCTCGTCGCGATGCATCATGCGCGTTATGCAGAAGACAAAGACAAAAG